ATGTTGATAAAAGTGACCCGAAAAACGGCGCTAACTCGGTAACCCGTGGGCCGATTTTTGCGAAACTTGTTTTATTCTGTTTCTGTTCTCATTTCATTACAAATATGGCGTTATTGTATGCCGTTTTTACTGTATTTAATTACAGACAAACAAACAAACAATCTCAGCATTTTAGTAGTATATAGATATGTAAATTTGAAGCATTGTTATGAGGGCATGTCATACGTTATCAAACAGGCAGCGGAACTGTCCAGTTCACGTTAACTACGAATGTTTTTTTTTTTCACTATTCCTCTTAATTTGTTCATAGCAGATTCACAATAGCAGCGTGTAAAAACAGAATTTCAAAATCCATCTTTTGTCTCGCACAAGTCACTGCCCTATAGGCCTTTCCTTCAATACCGGAACTCGTCAGCTGGGCTGGACGATATGAGACAAAAGATTATCTGAAGTTGAACAAGTTAAGAGGAATGTGAATATTAAGTATGATATGTGGTATACGGTGGTGGAAAAAAAATTATTGGATCATCAGTTTTTTTTCAAACCTCTCTTTGGAATCATCGTCTGTTTTGAGACCCTAGGTGCAAACGTGTCATGTATGATGCAATACATTATAATTATTACATCAGCAGCTTTATAGGCTGTCTAGATATTGTATCAACCGTTTTTGGCTATAAAAAGAGGTTCTTACTGAGAGTTAGTTTGGATGTCTATCTGCGTGTGATGCTACCATAGTCAAGGATTGTTAGTTAACGCCACAGAAAAAAGCAGCTATTGTTTCTTTGAGAAAAGGACTTCCAACAAAGCAGATTGCTATAAGAATTTAATTTAATCAGTCTACAGTGAGTCGCTGGGTGTAGAAATATAGAGAGACTGACTTCGTGGAGTGGTGGAAGAGAAGGGGTAGGAAGAAAGTTTCCACAGCAACTGACGATCGTGTTCGGAAACGCATGAGCCTGCAGAATCGTCGACTGTCATCCGCAGATCTCAAATGAGCATGGCAGGAAACTTCAGGGGGGCACTGTTACTCACTCTGCACACCATCTAGTTTCGCTAGTGTTCAGCCAGCCTCACAGAAAAACAGCAAGAAAGAAACCACTCTTTCCTAACAAAATGAACTAGGCCAAAGAGCATACTGACTGGATCGAAGAATGTGGAGCAAAGTGATCTTTTCAGGCGAATCAAAGTTCAACCTGCATGGATCATATTAGAAGCACGTAAAGTCAACATTTCCGGATCACTTCAGTAGAGCTGGCCAATGCACATTCAGGATGACTATTCCATGCCACAGGACTAAAAACGTTGATATTTATGCACTCTATGCAGTAGACAATCCACGTGTATTGAAAAAGACATCTTATATTTTATTTCATTGCTTCAGGTGAAGGACTGTCTTTGAAGGGAGAGGATCAAGACACTACGCTGGCCCAGCAACAGCCCAGATCTTAACCCTATTGAAAACTTCTAGAAGTTAATGGGTAACAAAGTGCAAGAAAAGAAACCGAGAAGCACCTTAAAACTCCAGGAAGCCCTAATCTGCGTGTGGCATCATGAAATCACCCCTACCTACATTCAGTCTATCGTGCACTCTATGCCACGGCGATGTCAAGACCAGAAGAGGCACAGCCAAATATTAGAAAGAAACGGACTCTGTGACCACTTTTCGTCAATTGTATTAGTGGTTTTATCTTTAAAACTAGGTTTTTTTACTCGGAGAACATTTTCATATTTGCCAAGTATTTGTTGATTACCTGTTCTAATACGTTTGTCACAGTTGGTTTCTTAATAAAGATGCATATGTGTTTGGATGACTGAAATATGAGTGAGCTTACACCACCCAATGTCCATAACTATTTTACACTAGTTCTGGCACTTTCACAATCTACAATGTCATAAAACATTACAGAAAACAAGAAAAATGTGAAAACATTAAGTGGTGCAATATTTTTTTTTACACCATTGTATATATAAAATCTCCATGGGTTGTGAGAAATACAAATCAACACACATACATACACACACACATGCGTGTTTTCAAAGGTCCAAAGGTAATTCAAACTTAGCTATTTAGAACACTGTGGGGATAAAAAAAAGATAAAAGGAATATCGTAAATCTAATATTATGATTGTAGTTTGGACCAAGCAACCGTATAGTGATACTTTTACAGACGTCGACCGTATTTATATTACAGAGAAAAAAATATACAAGTATTAAGCACAAGCAAAAGTGCTCGTCCCCAGTGACGGGAAACGTTTAAGTTAATCTATCAATTTAAATTATTTCATGAACTTTAAAAAGGTTAATTGTGTTGCACTCATGGTTTCACTCAGAGCCAAAGCTGTGAGATACGTATACCGCCCACCGCAAAAAGTAAATGTTGAGCATTTCAGTCATGCTAAGAGCCGCTCAACAATAACATACGGTAAATTTACATTTTTATTCTTTAAGTTACGTCACATTTTGAAATGTAAATGATGGATAGTACGTGTGATTAATTCCTAACAATTTAGTATAGAATATCATGCTTGCAAAATAAAATTTGGCATCAACATTATTCATGCCTATTCTTCCGTCAATGCAAAAGTGAATCTTGAGCTTTGCCTGCATTGCAGCTTTTCAAGCGGGAGACAGACGAACGCTCGGACAGGCTCCACGGTTCGTAATATACATAAGATTGTAGAGTCCCTTGTGTCATGTTTAGTATGAATCTGCACTGACAGTAGACAAAATGAATGTGCTAAAAGAAGGGGATTACTAGTACTTCAGGATCTTGTGAAATGCAGCACAATAAAAGGTTATATAATAACCAAGTATTTGCAAGATGATCAATACATATATTCACTATATATCTTCTTCTAAGATATCTCATCTTGTAATTACGAACATTGGTACATTAGTTATGTACACAACTTTTTAAAGGTAACATTTTTTAATAAAATGGTGTATATTTGGGGCAAGCTCCTTTTAGTTTACTTTTTTCATATATCATAGATACATTACTTAAAGACTCGAAAAAGGTATATATAATGGCCATATACATCTGTTTGATGTCTTGGTAATAGGAGGTTTAACATGTATACTTCGTAAGTTCATAACCATGCAGAAATTTAAAAAATAATCTAGAAGAATATAACACAACATTCAATGGAATATTGTATAAATTTCGATACTTACTATTTCTTTAGTTCGCTGTCATATTAGTAGGCCTTATTTGATAAAAATTCCTAAAAAACTGTATCCTAATAGTCCTTTGGGGGGGGGGGCAAAAATGTAACAAACCCTATTTCCTAACATATCTATCATTGCCTTGCTTTATATCAACCTTTATTTGGCAAGTTAAGTATAATTGCCATGCCTATAGGCCTTAAGTTATATGTACTTCTGTAAGACTTTTCCGTCTCTTGGGTTCGCCGTTTCTGGCTGAAGAAGTTGTGGTATACATCTTGAGGTTATTTGGTTGTTTCTCAACACTGATATGCTAATTTTTTTATCCTGAATTTATTTTAAGAACTGTAAGATTGTTAACGTTTTCTTTTCTTTTAATCCACAAAAGGTGGCATGCCAGTAAGGTAATGTGGGCACTGGTTAATTAAGGAGAAATAAATTCGTGAGACGGGTTGGTCGTAACTCAAATAATCGTGCAGACATTTGACAGCGTATCTTGCTTCCTATCGCGCCGTCTACTTGTTCCGAAACTTAAAAAATAAATATTTGAGCTAACCTTTTCAGCGCCATCTCTTGGCAGTGATGTTTTAGCAACATTGAATGAAGGCCTCAGCCCAGGGGCCTTTGTATATTTTTATATTCCAGGAAGACGCGTAACAAAGAAGATTCCATGACAGCACTACTTTACTATATCCAATTTACCCGCAAAACAATTAAATTATAACCTTCATAATAGTTTGAAATAAAATGAATGATAATTGTGGAAATAATTACACATATTAAAATATTTTATGTAATTTCATCGTTATTTATTTTCTACTTTTATATTTCAACCAGCTTGATTACATTCAGTGTTCTATGACCTTGTATATCTTTTGTGCAAATATTTACTAAGGTAATGTTTCTTAAACATTTGTTACATATGTAAAGTTGAAATTTGTTATTTGTAATTGCAGCTAAAAACCCTAGTTGCTACTCCAGTCCATGTCAGAATGGTGGCACTTGTATCAACATGGGAACTGGGTTTTCTTGTCTATGTAAGCAAGGTTACGAAGGTCCCCTGTGTCAAAACAGTGAGTATTCTCTTTGTTGTCTTTCAAGATATCTCTTCAGTTTCTTATGGTTGTAATAAAAATCTAAATAAAGTTAGCCAATTCTAAAAAGTAGCATAGTTTAATTAATAGTAATTCATTTGAAGAGATTAAAACAGGAACAAATATCAGCCCAATTTCCTGTCTATTGAAATTCATTTATAATGATATTTGATATAATGATTATACAGAAGCATACACAAAATACCATTTTTATTTCATACATAATCAAAAACATCTTAGGTGTGAAGAAAGGTGCGGCCAAAAAAGGATTCAGTGTGGGATTTAAAATATTACTTTGATTTACCCACCATCACGCCCCAAACTGAACAAAAAACGTGGCCTGGCTAACTAATGAATAAATATTTGCTGTAAAATTCTTATCAATGCCATAAGTGTAGCTACCAGTTTGGCCGCTAATTTTGATTTCGTTACTTTTAATGACATACTCAGTCTTTTTTTGGGCCACACCTATTTTTCACACCTAAGATATTTTTGATTAGATATCATGACTTTTGTCAATACACACCAAAAAATCACAGTGGGTAAGAAAGTGACACTTGATAGTAACCAACATTAGCTCCAGGATCGCAACCCTATTATTCGGAACAGACCTATACTTTACATAAGCAATCTGATTCTTTAAAATATATGGTGGTAGTTTTCCTCTTCTAAAATAGTGTTAATAACTTCCTTTATAGTAACGCCATGGGATATACATTAACAGTTTCTTATCATCAGAAGCATGCACTTGGTATCAAGCATAATTATTTATGCTAATTGCTAAGCTAATATCAAGTGACGCTAAACACTCTTTAATTAGGATAAATTCATAAAGTTTAGTAAATTTGTGCTTATAATTTGGCAATGAACAAGGAATAATTACCGTTCACTCGTATGATTCTTTTGAAATCTTGAACTAGAAACTGCTAATCTAGTTTTCTTGGCCTACCCAATAGCTATGTATCTGCACGTTCTTTCACCCTTGAGTTTTGCTGCTCTATATCAGCCGTCTTTAATCCGAATGACTAAAAAACGGTCCACTTTAATTCTAAGGTGAAGCTGTAGTAAAGTTTTTAGACAGATAGCTCACGTGACATTTTGCTTAGGCCTACGTAAAAATTTGTCAAATTTGAGCGGTTTTATTGAATAACTTTGTACATGTGGCTTATATTTAAAACAAATGAGACATTTAATTGTAGGTTGTAAAGATCTATCAGTGTTCCAAATTTGAAAGAATCCATAAAAGTTAAATATGTCTTTCTGTCAGATAAAATTACCGTACTTTTGGTGCGAAGAAAAAACAATTAGAAGAAATTCAAGCAAATTTCGAGACTTTATATCTCGTATATTTCTTAATGGATTGCCTTGAAATTTGGTATGTGAAGTAAGGATCCATAAGAGCACATCCACTGAAAATGCTTATTAGTTTGGATTACCACAGCTCGAGCTACAAAGAATGGAAACTCGCTAAACTATCACTGGTGTTAATAACACATACTGTGTCCTGTAGGTTGTTTTGGCCGCACGATACACTATCGTGTGTCTTGATATGTGTATGTGAGAGGGAACTAAGAGAGTGTACATAAATCCATATAAATAGTACCTATAGGAACAAGTTCATTTCCAAAAGCTTGTAAAAGATTATATGACCATATACAGTGCGTGTGTGTGTGTGTATATATATATATATATATATATATATTAATGAAAAACTTGCATCCAGATATATACGTAATAAATACATCAGGTTATGTATGAACTATTCTGCTTAAATTTAATCTTTTCACAAATAAGTATCTGCTATAGCAATTAAATATGTTTGTGCAGTAAGAACATCTGCAGACTATAGGGAAACAGATTTAAATTAAAAGGTTTACAGTGTAAGAACACCAGAACAGAATTACATTAAAATATTTGCATAATAAGACCATCTGCAGACTAAATGGAAACATATTTTCATTCAAAGGTTTACACAGTAAGAACAGTAGAGTTTAGTAAACTGGGTAACAAACAAAGGTATTTCCAGTAGGATCGACTCGCAATCTGCGGGTTCGAATCCCCGTCATACCAAACATGCTCGCTCTTTCAGCAGTAGGGGTGTTTTTAAATGACGGCCAATACCACTATTTGTTGGTAAAAGAGTAATCCAAGAGTTGGCGGTGGGTGGTGATGACTAGCTGCCGTCTGTCTAGTCTTACACTGCTAAATTAGGGATGGATAACGCAGATAGCCCTCGTGTAGCTTTGCGTGAAATTCAAAACAAACAAACAATCCAGTAAGAATATATATATGCCAGATATTATGTAAGCAAGACTGTACTGTAGAGTAAAGACATCATATTATCTGTGAATAAACTTGTATTCAGAGATATATACAATAAGAATATCAAACAAAAATTAACAGGTTTAGGTATATTTCATATGTATAGGCATGAACATTTCACAGTTAAAAATGATTGATTAAAGACCGGTTTATCATTCAGGATGACTGGGTTTTTTACTTGTTATTTTTGTTCAGTGCAACATTTCTAAATCTTCTAATTTCTTACCAGATAGTGATTATTGCAACCCCAATCCTTGCTACAATAAAGGCAGATGTGTGAGTGGATTAAACTGGTTCCGGTGTGAGTGTGCTAAAGGATTTGCTGGATCCAACTGTTATATTAATATCAATGACTGTGCTTCCTTTCCCTGTAAAAATGGAAGCACCTGTAAGGATGGCATTGTTGACTTTCAGTGTTTTTGTCCCCCAGGTTATACAGGAAGACAATGTAACATAGGTAAATATTAGCTTAGCACAGAACTTTTTATTATAGTTCGTTACAAATCATTTTATGGGGTGGTCGAAAATTAACTTTCCTATTTTAAAATTTATTAATAAACTAACCAAGGAAATGCAACCATGAAGTTTTCAACACCTTGTAGCCTCACTCGAACAGCTTTTATTAACATGTCAGTAGACTTCTGTATGTACACTATTAGTGGCTCTCAGCACATCTAACTGATTTTCTATTTCAGTCCACATTCACTGCAACCAGTAGCGTGAAAAGGTGGGGGGGGGGGCTCCGGGCATCCATATCGGGAGGGCATCCAACGCAAAGAGTCGAATCGAATTGTAGAACCCTTTCCGCCCTTCCCCAAGGTCTTAGGTACAAGGCCCCGGGCATCATAGAACATCTGCACGCCACTGACTGCAACATATCCACAGTTATAGTGGCAATGGCTTCTGTTATTCTCGTCTTTATCTCCATGATGTTTCCTATAGATGTGTGATACACGATATCCTTAATACCCCCGTACTTCTTTCCTGTACTGGCATCTGTAATTATGCTGCATCACAGTCACTGACTTGGTCTATGCAAGCCAAACTATGCATTGAGCATTTTCTTGCACAGTTGCCATTTTATGGAGTAACGTTACTCACTGCAGTGAAAAATAAACATAACAATAAAAACTGTTTGAGTTCGGCTACAATATGTTTAAAATTGCATGGTTGTATTTCCTTAGTTATTTAATTATTAAATTCTAAAATAGGAAATATACTTTTGGCCATTCTGTATGACAAACTCAGAGGAAACTATCTTCCTGTCTTGGTATAATTTGTTAATTTGTTTTTAGTCATAGTAATCTTCTAATTTTTTACATATTTTCTAAGATTTATGAAAATATTGTTACGACAGCGGAATTCACGTGACGCTGGTAACACGTAATGAGTATCTAGAACGTTCGTGAAGGCTCGAGTTTTCTCCAGACGCCCTCTAGTCCGTATATATATAAGACCGGCGAGAAGTGACGGCATAGAGATAGATAATTGCAGACAGGCAGAGATAGAGACGGACAATTGAGTAAAGCGCGTGAATCGTTCGTTCTGAATTATAGCGTGTGTTGAAGTTAAAGTGACTGTGGAAATTAAGTGTATTGCAAAGTTGAATTGAGAAAAAATAAACTAGTTTTATTTAAGAAAAGACTTGTATCGCTGAAGTTTCTCGGAAATAAATTATACGGGAAATTAACAAACGACCAGAGACGTAACAATATGTTCAAGAGAGATGATGATAAAAACCCTGTAACCCGAGTGCTTTCGAAAGGTGAACCTTTCAAAAGTGCTCGGGTTATAGGATTTTTATCATCTTGTATCAAAACTTCTTGAACCTATGCGTTTTTCTGACATCATGAATATTCAAGATAGATGTTGTTTGTGTGTATACATATAGATATATATGTATGTTTTGCTTATATTTAGATGCCACTGTAGATGCAAATAATGGTTAAGAATTTATTTGTTATAAAACATTCTTGTAAATCATTAGAGCTTCAAATATGTATATAATGAAACTTTTTTCTTGCTTTTGACAGAGGTAGGCAAGAGACAATGTGAGTGGAATGGTTTTACTTATAACCATGGCAGCACATGGGAGAAAGATTGTAATACCTGTTTCTGCCAAGATGCAGAAGTAACCTGTACCAAGGTAAGTAAACAAAATTATAATTTTACCCATAATAAGAACATTCCTTACTTATTTCCTTAGAAACCAGTATTACTGAAACATCAAAACAAAAAGAGAAGCTTGTGGATAGAGAAGATACGAAAAAGTGCTAGAGAAAAAAGCTATAAAAAGAAATAATGAAAACTGGACAAATAATTAAAAGGGAAATAAAAAGATAACATTGACAGCTTTCTTTTTTCAATATTTTGTTTGATATACCTCAAAACATTTTTCAGGCAGTTTGTGTATTTGTTCTTGACATACCAATACTCTGGCTCAGACATTTTGTATTGTCTCCACCCATTGGTTACTTTATTTTTGTTTTCACAATCTAGGTGTGTCATTCTTGTTTTTTTATGGTCATTATACTGAAGATTTTATAACATTTACCTATACTATCAAAGGTACCTTTCAGGGGAAATGATGTGACAGTGTTCTTGTATGTCATTTCCTGACAGTAGAAAGGGAGAAATTGAAATGGCTGATAAACTTTTTTTTAAATGAGAAAAAAGAATAAAATAAGAGGTTTTAAAATTCCTCATTAGCATATGCAATAAACCTTTAAAATGTCATGATGGTCAGAGCTAGTTCAGAAATGTGTGTTGTTACACGCAGTCACAAATACAGTCACAAGCCACAAAATAGAATACATATTGTTGCGTCAGCGAGGTAACGTGACTAGTGTCACGCCCCCTGCTTTCTGGAAATATCTTGTACCTTCGTGAATTGTCGGGAGATTACTAGATATAGGGTAGTCTGGTATATATATAAGAGGGTGACAACGTGACGGAAGATTAACAAGGTGTGTGTAGGTAGTGCGTAATTGATCTGCAGTGAGAAAGCATTGTTGAAGTAGAGCTCGTG